AGCAATGATTAGAGACTGTGTAGGCCCAAAGGACACTGGCTCCATGAGATCCTACTGGCCAAACAGGAGGATGCGGTGTGCGGTGGTTCTGCCGCAGTGAGCGGGGGAAGTAGCATTTAAAAAAAAAAAAGAAAAAAGAGTGGAAAAGCTTAGCTTTCAGCTGGTGTTGAGTTTACCCTCCACTGTCAGACCCTCAGTTTTATTTTATGCTTCTGTTGCGTTGGTACAATTGATGACTTCTAGCCCCATTTATAGAGATCTGTGCGTGGCAATTACCTTTGCTTGGCAGCTGCTCTGGGTGCCGTTTGAGAGGCAGGGTTGAGTAGCACATGGTAGATATCTTCTGAGAAGTACAAAACAGGAACCTTTGCCATCAAAGGGAGGCCAACCAACAGGCGGTGGTATGCTGTTCTTCAGGAGAGTAACACCACCAGTTTTGAGGACTTGTGCCCACATGGCTCCTCTCTTGTAGGCAGTAGGAGCTTTGTCAGCCGCATGGTGCTCAGCACGTGGGTGTAACAGTGGAGCTACGTTCATCTCCCAAGTGTTCCCCTGCATCCCCCCAGTCTTCCTAGAAAAGAGGGTTTGTGTGAGGTGGAAGCCATTCTTTGCTGGTTTCACCCCAGTGTCTATTACAACACTGGTGCAACAGGGGTTGGTGAGAACACTGCACTGCTGAGAGAGTTTGGGAGTGTTGAGTAATTAAACTTCAACTTTTTCCTCTTCCTAAATGTCTTTCTAATCTTGGTGTTGGGTTAGGTGATGGGGTAGAGTGCAGAGGAGAATTTCTCTAAGGTAAAGTTTCCTCTCACAGACTTTTTAAGCTGTGGTAGGAGGATGACTAACTGTGGGTACACCCAGACATTTCCCTTTGGACACACCTAAACACACACTTTCCAAGAAGGGGATCATGCCACCTTCCAGTATGGGTGGAGAGAAAATTTAAAGGGGGACAGGACTGCTTGGTCTTGATGTCCATAATGCTACTCCTTCTAGTGTCCTAGTGAGGAGTTTTAACCTAGTACTGTCCTGGGGTGATTTATATTGTACTGCTAAATGAAGTTCCTTCATTTCTTTGTCTTCCACCAGCAGATGTGTGTTATTTGTAGACAGTAGAGGCTGTTGCCTATTTTTACACTCAATTAAATTGTAACTTCATTGCTGGGGCCTCTGCTGCAAGAGCTACGAGTCAGGCAATGATCCAGACTGATTAATTATCAGCTTAATGTCTTTGGCAGAGGTCTTTTGCTGCTGTTGTGGAGCATGGTCAGGGTCCTGCTGCCCTTTGTGATGAGAGGAAAAGTTGGGGGGTTGCCTCTACACTGTTCCCTTCATCGAGCTTGTTTAGTGACAGGATTAGCCTTGGCTGCACGGACTGGCACGTATGAGTAAGAGGTCCAGAGTAAATTATCTGTAGCACTTCTTGGACAAAAGCCTCTGCAAAAATACAACAAACTGTAATACTATTCTGGTTACTGATGTGGAAATGAGTGGGTTGGGCACTTTGTTTCTTTTCAGTGAGACTGGTAGCCTGCAAAATTTGGCTTGCAGTATTTTTCCCTTGTTTTGTTAATGAACAAATCATAGATACTGTGGAAGGATAAAAATGGAAAAGAAGTAATTTCTGCTGCTGAATCAGCTTGAGAGAAGCCCATCAGCCCATTTGAGAAACCAGATGTCTCTTTAGACAGTTGTATCCATTGTAACCACAGTAAGCTAGTGGCTGAAGGCTTTTTTCAAACCAGAGCTTGTTTCTGGGGCCCTTCCTGAAATAAATGTTTCATTTTGGTGTCAGAATTCCTACAAATCTTTTTCTGGTAAGTGGTTCTTGAAATACTGCCGTTGCAAATGTGGAAGTTGTGTCATCCCTGCTGCAGGCGTCTGCGATCTGAAAATACACTTGGTAAATGCTCCTCTGCTGCGGTGGGTGCAGCAGGGTGGAGCGCTTCCCAGGAGGGCTGGAGGGAGCAGAGGGTGCTCTGGCCAGTGGACGGTTGGGAGAGCCACCTACTACTCTGCTGGAAGCCTTCAGGCATCGCCGCCTTATCTCTTCACCCTGTGTTGGTGGGATAAAACCACCAACCACCAAGGTCACTTTGCTGGGGACATCGAGCAGAGCATCCCCCTCGCCTGTGTAGGTCCTTATTTAACCCTAGTCACTGTACGCACTGGCTGCCAAAAATCAATTACTTGCTTGATGATGTTCGTTTGCAGAGTCTTTAAATAACGTGCGGTGGGAAAAACAACCAAACCGTACAGCGTGTATTAGCTATTGGCTAATAACTTGTTACAAATATCTTTTGGACTTTGTGTAAGCTTAACTTCCTCTTCATTTTCTATATAGGTAATAATATATTAAGCTTCCCTAAACCCTGCTGGCACTATACGTATTAATGTGTAGAGTTACTGAGCTGCAGTGATCGCAGCATGACAGCGATGAACTAGGTGTGGGCTGCAAAACCACCTCAGACACTTTCTCCATGCCCAGCAGTTGCCCTGTAGTGAGCTCCGTGGCCTGCAGCCCCGCCGTCATTCCTGAGCAGCTGCATCGCACTTCTGGTGTGTCCTCGCATCTTCTGGTCCGTGGCTGGAGGTCCCAGAGAAGCGAAAGGCCTGCGTGTCTTTCATAAACCTTGACATTCCACTGTTCCTGCTAAGGACAGCAGGAGCTGGTGGGCTTTGAATGTTTCCGAAAATTTTCCCGCAGTACTTTCATGTGCAAAGCTGGTGACGATGCCTAGGGTTTTCTTCTTGCACTGCTTCCCTGGGCTAGTGCTTTTAACCACAGACTCGTTTCCCACTTCATCTGGAGCATGTGTGAAAGTGGATGACTTAATGTGTGCCGCTTTTAAACGCAGAGATTGGAAAACAAAGCCTGTTTAAAGCAGTACTTGTCATGCAAGCAAATGCAACAAACACCTTCTTGAAGTATCACAGAAAATTGCTTTTTGGACAAACAAGGGGACTTTCAAAAAGCTCACCGGGGTTGGCAGTGAGAGCAGCTGTAAGAGCTGGGGGTGGCCAGCTCTGGGGTCTGGTGAACACTCAAACTGGGGGAGCCATGTGAGACGAGGCTGCTGGACTGCCGGTGCCTGGAGCCCCTCTGGGGCGAGGTGGCCTGTGCTGCATTCAGCTGTAGCTTGAGTCTCTCAAATCACAGGTAGCTCAGTTTCCTTCCCTCTTCCCCCCCTGCTTCCTCCAGCCAGTCTTCCAGCAAGCATCTGGAAACTCAGATTTCACGTTGCAAGGTTAAGAGGACTGTGAGAGAAATGATGGGAGGTGCTGAAGGCTGGAGGCACTGACAAAGGCAGCTGATGTAGTACAGGCTTGGTGGGAGGTAGAGTCTTGTGGGCAGACCGAGATGAAAGGGGCTGAGAGCAGACAGTGGAGACTGCTTGGAAACTAAAAGACCGGTGGGGTGGATGCTGGGGCTTTTTGAGATTGTAGTTGGGTTTGGAAGAGAAATCGGGTAGGCAGGTGTCTGAACAGCCTGTAAATAGAGGCATGCTGCCCTGGAGCTATGGAAATGGAGTGAAGTCTCCTGCTCTGCTGTTGCTTTTCAGAGCTCCTCCACTCACACAGCTAATTGCTGCCTGCACTTGTCCAGGGCTGGGCCTGGAGTTCAGGAGTGACTTCTAGTGTACAGGCTTTTACACAATAGGTCTGCTGCTGTCTGACTTCTGTTTCAACAAGAGCATTTAGACCCCTTCTGGGTCTACCCAGGGCTGAAACATCTGGCTGTTATCATGTTTGGTCTCTGCTAGTGGTTTGGTGGCTCTGCTAGACAAGTGCCAGGCAGCCGCTGGTGCCACCGCGTGCACTGTGCAGCCACCAAAGCTCCTGATGTGGCTCCATGGTGCTGTATGTTTGTGGGGCACTTCTCTGCAGTACCTTGTGCTTGTATAGTGCATGTATATACATACATGCACTATACACATACGTAGATAATACTGCCTTGTGCATGCGTCCTAAGGCCAGGGAGCCAGTGGGGAAGGTCACCTAAGGCTGGAGGTAAATTTTCAAGATTGGAAGAAGCATCACAGTACGGCACCTGGTCGCAAATTTAGGAAGACTGTCATTTGGCTTGGAGTTGCTGGTGTTAACCCCCATGATAATCAAGAAAGCTTTAACCACCCGATAACAGCACTTTGTTAATGCATGTGTAGAAATTGGTTGGCTGATGTTGCGTTTTTGACCTGAGATGGTTTCTTTTTGCTCTGAAATCAAAGGTGAACCTCTTGGGCACTTTTCAGCCGTGGGGTTGAATTGCAGGTGCCAAAGATGTGTTGCTCTTATCTCTCTGTTCAGACTTGCGCTGCTCATCTGGGCATAGCTGCTATAAAGGGCCAAGTTAAATGTGGAAATGATTAGGGCTCTAAGATAGTAGTGTGCCAGCATCTGCATTGCATGCCACAGTTAATGCTAAAAGCCAGGAAGGAACATGAAGACCCAAGCCACAATACAGGAGATTTGCTTGCTTAAATAGGTGCACGCTTAGAAAGGAATAAAATGCTTAAATACCTAGCTCTTTCAAAATAAGCAATCCTCCAGGGATTAATCTATAATGAAATCTCCCCCCCCCCGCTTCAGTCTGAATCACATAGAGCATGGTTTACCTGTTTAAAAAGAAAAGCAGCAGCTGTAATGCATGTGAAATATTTAAATGCATAAATGTTTTATTTTTCCATTTTCTCTTTCCCCAGGAACTGGCAAATTCTGTCTACTTGGTTATGGAGGTGAGTTTTTTTTGTTTTTTTTCTTTTTTTTAAACTTGTGTAACAAGCTGGTCTGTTTAAACCAAGTAGTGCTTTCTGCTCGCAGTCTCACCTGTGATGCTTTTGCTAATCTAATCTGCAGCTGCATGCCTTTGAGAGCTGGTGCAGTGTGGGTGAAGACAGCAGCCAGGGGCGTTTTTAGCAGTGCTGCTGTCAGAAGGTCGCACTGGCACAGGTTTCATCAGTCGGATGTCTTACCTCAAGGGTCAAATGGGAGATACTGGGTAGTATCTGCCTGAAAGATACATGGAAAGTACATTTTCTCCACACAGCTTTAATGCAAAGCTTTTGAATGTTTTCTTTCCTCTGCAGTATTCCCTCTGAGGTCTTGTTGACTTTCCTTAATGATATGGAACATGATGGGGGGAATTTAAGTTTTTAGCTGTGGCTTTCCACAACCAGCTTTCTGGTGGTCTCTCCAGTGGTGACCCTTCTGTTTTGGTCTGGTTTTATTTTCTCTCTGATGTGCATGCACATGGATGTGCGCCTCCACAAAAGCTAGTTAATGCAACATAATGTGTAGGGGAAATAGGACAGAAAAGAAACCTGCTTGGAATGTTAGGGTGTTTTTTTTTCCCTGCCAACTTCTGAATACATATTTTGACACATGTGTGATTTATTTCTGTTTAAATACCATGATCAGCCTGCCATCCTAGTGAAGTTTACTGGTTTTAATCTTTGATTTGCCTTGCATTAACTGAGCTTTCTCTTCCGCTTGCAGTACTGTAATGGTGGTGACCTGGCAGACTATCTTCACAGTAAGTAGAACAATATGGAGAATATCCTCTGTATTCAGAAGAAAACACTGCCTGTTTTAGCTCATTAAAGTTGCTGGGGTTTGTGGAAGATAAAGCAAGCAGATGATATATCTCTTTTTAATTCCTGCAAAATAAACAAGAGTATCACTGCTCCTTTTCTAACAGGTTCACTCTTGATAATCATCTGAAAACTGAGAATCTATGACAATAAAAGCTAGTTTTGTAGTCTTTCCTATGTAGGTCAGTGGTGGCTGTTGTCAGTAGTTATGCATTTTAGTTACGATGGCCCTATGGATTAAACAGATTTTAACACTGCTACGGACATGGTTTGTCTTTTTTGTAGTTACTGGAAAAAAAGCTATTTATACTGAAGTCTTGCAGTTCTGTAGGGTTGGATTAAAATAAGATCCCAAAAGTATATTTCACTTTCTTTTAAGTTTTCCCCTAAGGGTATCCCCACACCTAGGACAGAACACATTTCTTACTCCACAGTGAATTGAGGGTCACTGTAGTGTATAGCCAGTAGTGTTGTGAGGGTGATGAAAACTACTAAGTCAGGGTCTTTTGGAGAATATAGCACAGGTATCTGTGATTGTGGTGCTTTGAAGAACCTTTTGGTGAGACTGAACTGTGTCTTTGCCACCAAACTGAATGAACATGCTCTGTATGTTACCCAGCAGTTATCCGGTCAGGTTTCAATCTCCCAAGCTATTTTTCAGCGCAGCCCACTGCAGAGGTATGGGATCCTGGCCTACGTGAAAATCACATTGCACACGAGTACCTAAGGGGTAGGAGGATAACATGTTTAACGAGTTGCTTAGCTGCAGTCAGACACAGCCCTTATTTTCTGTTGGCTTGACTGTATTTTTTTTCTCTAAAGTAGGTTTCTTGTTGTTTTGCATGTTAACTGGAAGATTGCTAAATGTGTAGAGACATCTTTAATCTCATTTCTTGTGTGGCTCTGGGTCATGGTTAAACAAAGTTTGTTCATATTGTTCAAATTAAAAGCTAATCAGTTGGATAATACTTCAGGCTCCTTGTTTGAGGTACATTATGCCTGGAAACGGCAAAATTTGAAGGATTAAAAGCTAAATTTACATTTGCCCTACAGCTAGTGTTGGTATCCCTGGAATGATTATTTGGGGCTTGATGCTAGTATGTCGCATTCTCTTCATACAGGGTAATGAATTACATTTGTGGACTTTAATTTTCAGAAAGGATGTCGTACTTGAAAGAAAATGAAGGAATATTCTGCCTTTCATGTCTCTTGTTTAAAACGTGGGTGAGATGGAATTGACAGGCATTTGTTTTTTTTAAAATTCAGATTTACTGTGCTTTGTCTTAGATAAGTGATGGTGTTTTGCATCCATTGGGTATTGCTGTCCTTTAAAAGGAGCATCTGTGGTGGTGGTGGTGGAATGCTGTAATGAATACCAAGTGAAAATGGTTTTGTATTTGATACCTTCTTTTTCTCCCTGAATACAATAGTCAATATTCAGTTTTACAATGTGTGGGCTTTGAAAGCTAAAGTTTCTAGCTTTCATGGACATGAAATGAACCTTGATGTTAAAGCACTGAGCTGTGCACTCTTGTTGGCAGAGCTGTGTATGTAAACAAGAACACAACTCCTGGCTGAATGATTTATAGAACCATAGGCTTATAGAAAACCTTACTATTCGTACTAGTGCTTCTATGTGTACATG